TCTCTGCGATTCTCTAGCGTTAGGTTTGATAATGCAATGCATTATTCATATCAAATACAAGAGATTATATACAGATATTTATATACCTTTTACAGAATAGCAAATGCTTTTCTAAAATAATCAAAATAATAGTGAAGTATAAAAATTATGCGAATATTTGTGTTAAGAGATCAGTAAACACATTGCAAACACACTCAGAATGAGAGAGAGAGAGAGAGAGAGAGAATTGGTTTGGTATTAAAAAATTTGGTGCAGAATATCGTGAGCCATGAATTTTAATACAGAATAAATAGTAATAAAATTAACTCTTGAGATGTATAATAGAATTATATGAAGAAGAAAGACATCAATACATTGTTTGCATAATTAGTGTAGTGTTTGGTCTCTGACTTTCAATCGACTCGTTTTCAGCATAAATTTTTATTTCAATTCTCTCTAAATCCTTTCAAATGTCTGTTTAATATTATTTTAAACATTTCAATATATATTCTGCACCTAAACTACAAAAGAATTTATATTTGAATACAAATTTATTTATAGTTTTTTAGTACAAATTCTGCTGTTATTTAGGCGTTTATAATACGATGAAACGAAAAAATCTATATAAAATAACGTTTGAATTAAATGTATTGATCAAAAATAAAGTTTGTCATACATGTATATTTTGTGCCCACATATTGTATCTGTTTGTTAGCTTTAAACAATATTTAGACATAGATTTTAATAAATGCTTATATTTTACCCAATGGTTAGATATAAACAAGTGGTGAATGAATCAACAGTTTGTAATAAATACATTATTTGGTTGTAATGCCTTAAATGTAATGGTTTAGTAATTATTTACAATAAAATTGAAATGATTGAAAAAATAATTATAAAATTTACTTTAATTAAACTTATATTCAATGAGACATCAATTATTAGAATTATTACAGTATTTATTTCTATACTGAATAGTTAGTAAAACTGCAATATATTCACAGCATTTTCATGACTGTTCAAAATGATAAGTTATCGCAACAGAGATCTTGATTTATATTTAATGTTAAAGCACTCAATAAAAAGTCACTAAATAATAGATTTATTATTGTTAACGCATTTTCATCTCAAATACATCATAAGATTCATGTGATGTCTGACAGAAAATAATTCTGTTTACAAAGATTTGTAGCAAAGGATTGGATCAGAAAAATAGGTGATATTGATAGGGAAGCAAACACTTGGTTTATACAAGTGTTGTGTATTTGGTATTTGTGTTACGCCAGTTGAATAGGCGCTGATGAGAGAGAGAGAGAGAGAGAGAGAGAGAGAGAGAGAGAGAGCTCACCGATTTGTGCGGCGACCAGCGATGCATTTAAATCTCTGCGATTAGGATTGACTTTGAAGGTGACTTCAGCCCTGTTATCCTTATCCGGCCTGCAGTCGAGTGGTGGCCACAGGAGTGAGTGACACAAATCACACGACAAACAAAATAAGCAAATATTGGAGAGAAATCGTTAGAGAAATGAAAGTGTGTTTAAGTAAGTAAGAGAGAAAGAAAGAAAGAAAGAAAGAAAGAGAGAGAGAATGTTGTGATTGAGTAGTGAAAGTGGAAGAGGATTAACAGTGGTGTTTAATGATTAATGTGAGCGCCTGTACCTGACATTAGAGAAGGTGCCCTTAGGGACCCGAACCAACTGTTCCAGTGTAGCGACAAATCTATTCGCCGAGCCGTCACTTTCGCCAAATCTATCCGTCCGTCAATTATTAATAGCGGCAGACAATGAGTGGCACCGAAAACAGTGCACACAATCAATAGAGAGACACAACAAAACAAAAAATGCAATTCAAATGCAATACAATGCGAAACCATTAAATAACTAATAATAAAGTGCTGCTAATTGTTGTCTTCGCTAATCAAACGCATCGCAACTCCTGATCTCAACGACAAACTAAACAAATTATTATATACTCCGAGCCATTACTTAATGACAATTTCTGGGTCTTCTCTCAGTTCATATATTGAGATATTTCTCGAGTATTTCACAAGAGCTCGCATTTCACTACACTTTAAGTCTATAGCAACTCTGTGTGNAAATTATTATATACTCCGAGCCATTACTTAATGACAATTTCTGGGTCTTCTCTCAGTTCATATATTGAGATATTTCTCGAGTATTTCACAAGAGCTCGCATTTCACTACACTTTAAGTCTATAGCAACTCTGTGTGCAGAATATATCTCAAATATAATCGATAATTAACTAATTGTAAACTATTATTCTGGAAATTAATTGCCAAATAATTCTATAATAAATTAATTCATTTGTATAATGACTTGTGATTTGAGATGTTTTAAAACAAACACATTGATAGATATAATGAGAGAAAACGTACGGTTTGTCTACAATGACATAAGTATAGGAAGAATCGATGGCTTCGAGTCGAGTGCGTTCGCCATCCTCTGCGGGAACGACCGCCGACTCGGAGTCCATTTTAACGGGTCCTTCAAATACGGGTTTGTTTGCTTTGTTGGCACTCTTTTTGTTCATTATATTACTCGACGGTCGGTCCGCAACCGCTTCTGACAAAAACAATACATTTGAGAAACAGTCAAACTATTTGGCAGACATTTCGCAAATCGATAAAACATTTTTCAATTCTCTACTTCTAAGAGCAAAATTGATGCTAAATTATGTGTCAAATATGTATTTGTATTTTTTTCAATATATAATTTTTAGGCTAAAACTATCTAGTGTTGAAAATATATAGACAATATTCTGGAGCTAAAACATGGAGAGAGAGAGAGAGAGAGAGAGAGAGAGAGAGAATCTCTTCGGGGCTTAAAATTTATATAATATAAATCGATTTTAACCTAAAGCTAATGGAATGAAAGGGAGAGATAGAGATATATATAAGTTATGTGATATAAACTAGTAGTACTTCACAGTATATATTTGCTAAATCAAAAATGAGTGGCATAGTCTACATATTCTGTAGATACTTCATATACAGTATGGTGTGAATTATGGCAACAATACACCAGCACTTGTATGCAGTGCCAGAATGTGTATATATCTGAATGTTTTGTGTCAACCGTTGCAACTGATGCTTAAAAAAATAAATTGAATCAAAATACGTGTATATATGACATCACTTTCGCTACAGAATATAATATGAATTTATATAATAATAATCAGAGAATTCATCATAAAAATGTGTATTCAATTGAAATTTTAATAATTATATATTTTTGATTCACATATCACTAAAATAGACTGCATTTACTATTTTTACTACGATTTTAATGTAAAATAAAGTAGATATACAATGAAATGTTTTTTATAAACTCTATGCCAAATAAACTCTATAGGGCTTATATACTGATCAAAATTAATTATAAAATTATCGTAACTGAATGTAAAGTTTTAGCATTAGAATCGTTGATTAGGAGACAATTACTGTTTGAATTTTAATTATATAAAACAATGAGTTTAAGTGTGTGTTTCTGATGAAAGGTTTTTTGTTTGATAAGAAACCAAAATTAATTTGTAAGACAATATCAACCAAAGTCTACCTTTTTGTCCATCTGTTCTCGATTTCAATGGTCCGTGTATTAGATCCTTGAGATCAGATTCATCACCTAATTTGATACACCATTAGATCATTAATTGTTGAGCATATCATATGTATTCATAATTATAATATAAAATAATTAGTTTTCAATAAATGTTGCATAAAAAACATTAAATTAAATAACAAAACATGAGTCCTTTTTATAAGTGTAAAAATAATTAATTAAAATGTATAATAATTACTTATATTTTCTACATTTCATGTAATAATATAATAAGTTATATTATTTATATCTCAATCATTTGCTTAATAACAGCATTAAAATTTATATCATTTGCTTTTAACAAATGCATTGATTAAACGAGACTCGGTAAAGAACTCAATTTAGTGGTCAAATTTAACCGAAAATTTTTGAATGATGATTTGATATGAAAGAGTATTTATTGAGTGGCAAAACACTGCCATTCATTTGTCTGTATGTCTTGTGGTCCAGAAGTAATCCTCTCCCAAAGAAGTCCACTCCCGAAATAACTTTGGCACAATGACCATGGCACTTTTTTAAAAAGAGATAATTAAATGTCGTAAAGTGTTTTAATATAAAGATTAGATAAAGAAAATAACAATTTGATAAAAATTTTAACAATTGATCCAGCCAATTTAAAAATATCATCACATTCATTTTTAAAATATACTGATTGCCATTGAATACTTTGAGATCAGATTCATCACCTAATTTGATACACCATTAGATCATTAATTGTTGAGCATATCATATGTATTCATAATTATAATATAAAATAATTAGTTTTCAATAAATGTTGCATAAAAAACATTAAAAGAGACAAAACATGAGTCCTTTTTATAAGTGTAACAATAATTAATTAAAATGTATAATAATTACTTATATTTTCTACATTTCATGTAATAATATAATAAGTTATATTATTTATATCTAAATCATTTGCTTAATAATAGCATTAAAATTTATATCATTTGCTTTTATATGTGATATCTATTTATCATTTGAATCGACACAACAATTAATTATTTTAACAATAAATTCATTTCAAACAAATTCATATATAAACAACTAATTAAAGGCTAATTAATAATTAGTTATGAAATTTATTGTATACATTCATAAAATAATATATTAATTAATAATAAAACGTTTGTTTTTTGTTGCAATTCCTAAAATTGTTGTTAAAATATATGATAAAAAACCATTAGTGAAATAGAAATTAATAAACGAATAAATACATTACTACAAAAAACAATTCAGAAAAATATTGTTATATTGTGTCACAGAATTTAAACAGATTTTTAGTTGATATAAACCGAGACATCATTTCCGCAATACTCTCATCAAAATATAAAATATATATTTGAATTCAAAATTAATTTCCTTCGCAAAAAACCATACAATTCTTTGCGCGAAAAAATATCAATCGTTGTAAAAAAATAAATGATTTAAGAATCGGTTCCTTCGAGTTGACAATCATTTCTTATATAATAATAAATATATAAAATGGTTTTTACCAAATATTTAATATGTAGTTATTTGATAGAAATAAAGGGAAATTAAAGTCATTACGTCCGTCAATAATAGATTGCATAACAAAATCTTATTATTTATTTGTTACTGAAATGAAAGTTTCAAAACTTAATTATCATTTATTGAAATCAAAATTTTAATCTAACTGAATTGACAGATTGGATATTATTGTCTACATATCGCTATACAATTAAAATGGTGTTTATTTCGGTTTATATTTCAAGTAAATCAAACAAAATTGTTATTATTTTCGCTGACAATTAATAAATAATTAAATGACTGATAAATCAATTGATAGAGATTTGAAGAATTAATCCATTTATCGATAATTTGTGTTTATATATAATAGAGTCAAGAATGAGATCAAAATGAATAAGTCTAACCAGATTTGGTCCAATTGGCCACCAATTCATTGGCCTTCTCTTCAGCCCAATCCCAGTCCAATCCGTTGTATTCCTAAACAATATAATTACATAACAATTAAAGTGGTATTAAACAACTTATTATGATAATTATAAAATCATGTTACTATAACTTAATTACTTTCTATTCAATACATTTAATCATATTTTAATGATAAGAACATTTAAGAAAATCCTAAAATCTGAAATTAATTAAACATTTTTAAGCAAATAATTGTCAATTTTAGCCATAATTAGTAAATATTCATAAAAAATAAGTCAAATAATGAGAATCTCAAAAAATAGGCGAAATTTAATTACGTTTTGTTGATATAATATGTTTTTATATTAACTTTTGAAACACAACGTTATTATGAAAGTCACAAAATTCATTAAAAACTCATTTGACTTATTCTTAATTAACGTTTTCCTCTCTTTCTATCTTCTTTTCAACTCATATATACTTATTATAAAACTATGTTTTCTACTAATAATAGGCAAGAAATACGATAACAACGGCTGAGAATAATGTCTTATTTAAATACTTATTCTTAGATTTAGTAATAATAATAATAATAATTTTAAATAAAATTCAAATACAGAGAAGCAGTAATACGACAATACATTTACCGAGAGATTACCAGTTTATCTCTGTTGGCAACGGATTTAGCCGACAATATAGTGTTGAGAGAGGAGAGCAAAAATATAAGTTAATCCCTAAATCTGACTAATTAGTCATGAATTATGATTATGTCATTCAATCGGCTTAACTATTATGTCTAAAAGTGTTTATGTCTTATAATCATATAGATTTGTTAACTCATGTTATGCTACCAATCGATCGCATTTCTAATTAAATACTCATCAAAATATATATTTATATATTTAATCATTAATGTATTAACATATCATCTATTAGTAGAAGTTTAATGATTTTTAATTACATCCATAATTCATTGTTTAGCGATTCGTTCCTTAATCTAATGGTATATTTATATATTGTATTGTTTATTATATATGTATGTATAGTGTTTTTAATGGATAGAGTTATAAAATACTTGTATTATGCATTCAACTAAAACTCCTATCGAATAGATGCTAAACTACAACTCTCCCAACTCTCTCTCTCTCTCTCTCTCTCTCATTCACTCACTCCCTCTCTATCGGTTGTGTATGTATTTAATGGTAAAGACTTTTTATGATTATGTGAGACATTAATTATCTCGACGATTGCAATGTATATATTTCATTCATTTAAACTCTGGCACTCACACTAACAATCGCTCCCCTTTTAATATGTATTCAATTTGTTGCCATATATTTCTCTAATTAAATATTTATAGCCCAATATATTGTATGTTTCGCTGCTATTCCTTATGAATAATGCAAACAAACACTTGTTGTTAAAGTAACGATCTCTCTCTCTCTC